TTTTCACCGGGTCCTCCCACTGCTAAAGACCCCTACGCGCAAGCGAATTATTGAAATAAAATCAAACCATCTGTTAGTCCCGAAATGACCTAGTTTGAGTCGAGTGGACGTTGTTGGCGACGAGTGGACGGATCGACAGCAATAATCGGGGCCCTGTTTCACAAAAACTTAAGATAGATGCGTTTCACAAAACGATTTTAAGCCTTTTGGATAAAATCCACTAAAATAATATTGTAAGTTAAAATGTTATCTGAACTTAAAATAATGGCGTTTCACAAAACTATTTTAGAGACAATTTTAACTAAAATCAATTTTAACTTAGGACAGCCGACACCCTCTCCTAACTTAAAATCATGACATTAACAAACATTGATTAGAGCTACGCTGTGAGATCTATTGCGACATATAGATATATTTGAAATAATGATAATATTGCCTATGGGCCGGGTTATATAATTTAAACATACTATCATTCACAAAAAAAATTTTCATTCAATTTCTTTTCATTGCATGGGAAATATAGGTGGGCCCACCCGTTTATTTTATTGTAAGGCAATATAGGTAATTAGATGACGCCCAAATTAAAACCCCAAGAACAAAAAAAACCCTCAAAACCCCAGTAAACAAAACTCTTTGTTACTATTTTATATATTACCATATGATTCAAGTATAAATTATACTATTTTCAAATAATTAATAGACCAAAAAAACGAAAAAAAAATCTAAACTCACTTCATATCTAATGTCTATAAAAAAATATCTTTGTCGGCCTACAATTGTTTAAAATGAGAGAGAGAGAGAGAGAGTTTTAACGTCCACTAGACACAAACTAGGTCATTTCGGGACTAACACATAGTTAAATTTTATTTGAATAATTCGCTTTCGCGTTGGGGTCTTTAACAGTGGGAGGAAACCGGAGGACCCGGAGAAAACCCACGAGGTTGGGCGGGCGACCCTACTCCCTGTCACGTACAACCGGGGAATCGAAACCCCGTCAGTCCTATAATACTAGATACGACATATGCAAAGTATTTATGGTTTTATGGTTATGATGATTTATATAGGAGCAAAGGGCATTATCCAATAAGGAGTGTGGCACTTTGGCACTTTCAAAGTATTATTGAAAGGGTCCATGGGACTGACATTTCAAATCTAGGCATCGGAACATTGGTTATTTCGTGTATTAGTTGAAAAGTTGTTAAATACTTTTAAAATTCGACAATACTTTAGTATAGATTTATTCTTTGAGTCACAAATATCACATGTTTGCGACAATTCTCAATAGCTTCTGTTATCCAAAATACCATAATACTACGAAATTCAAGCGATTTAGTTTATCGATACGCATTATTTCCATTGAAGCCTGCGAGTAAATCAAATGCCAAGGTCACGAAAGCGACATGCAAGTTCAAGGTCAACCAACTGATATATTTCAAAACGAATAATACGCAATAAACTTATTTATTTCATCTCTTTAAGACTGTCTGACCATGTGCAGACAATGTTACAACGTATGAAACTCTCCTCATTGGTATTTTAAGGGTCAGTTCAACCTGGCAACAGTTTTCAGTTCCGAAGCGTTTATGCTTACACCCTAAGTGCCCTCGCCGGAATTGTGCACTGCGCGAGCGCAAGCAATTTTAACTAAAATCTATTAAAATTACATTTTAAGTTACAATCGATCTTCGTGAATTACCCCTAAAATTTCATTTTGATTTTAGTTCAAATCTATTTTAGTGAATTTAGTTGCTCTAAATATACTGTAGTCACTGAAAATACTGCCTCGGAATAATTGTCTCAAGTTTTTTGGCGGGATGGGGGGGGGGGGGCTTTTTAGTCCTGGATTTACGTCGTTTTTGATGAATTGGTAAGATAGCAACAAGATAAGTTTTGCTAGTCAGGATATACTCTAGAAAGCATTCAATGCACACGGTCTCTGACAATAAACAATTTTATGACCCTTGAATCATGGACCTGGCGATCGATATGAGCAGCAATAGTTACGTGGCTTTTTTTCAAACAATGTGGAAATCATCGTTGGAAATAAGAGAATAAGAGTGGATATATTATTCCTCCAGGTGCGACACGCCCCGGTGCAACACGACAATTACGCCCAACGTATCTTTGTGATAGTTATCAAAATCGTGAACAATCTGTGGGTTTTGTTCAGCTGAATTATACGGAATTGCCTATGTGTTAATCAGTACAAGTATCATGACGCCAAATCGGCATATCATGATAATGCACAATATTGTTTACAGAATTTTTGTTATTATTTCGTATCATATCAATGTATGATCTAATTCGTATTCGTCTTTAAACCGCTTCGACTTATATGTGGATGGAGGTCGAAAACAGTAAAATAGGACGATTCGACTTAAACTCCACATCAACTCTACCCCGTAAAATATTATACTTAAATCCAGATATTCTGTAAAATGCTCTGGTTATTATTTAATTATGGTAGAGAGATATACAAAAACTAACCATGATCTAAAGCTGTAAAAACATTTATTCCCCGATTTAAAAATTGGCACTCTATGTAAGATAAATATGTATAACTTTTTAAACCGAAGAATCAACTTAAATGAAAGATAAATAAAAATAGTTATAATGCATGATTTTATTAGAAGCCTGCACAACCATACAACTGGTGGTTGTAATTATTTATATAGCACCTACTTGTTAAAGCGTTGAAGGATTCAAAGTTTGGGTTAAAGTCAAGTGATTGTAGATCAAACATGCCGATGGCAGAATGTGTATTGAGGTGTTGAAGATGAATGTTATTCCCCAGTGTCGTTCAAAGACTATATAATTTAATTGTGAAATAAGACAAACCAATCGTGAAATGGAATTAATAAAATAAATGCACGATAGAACTTCAGTTAGTAAACCATAATAATGAACCATAGCATGTCCCAAATAAATAATCTAATTTGTAGATCTGCAATTTGTCACGTGATGGTCGAAAAATAATTTGTGTGGCTCAGTTTGTTGATAGCAAATGCCGCTAATAAAGCATTTTTACCCAGCCTCGTTCTTGACAAAATACTTAGGTTCCAAAAACATGGCATTTTTAAAAATAGCTAGGTTTTGAAACTCCAGGCGAATACCCCCCCCCCCCCCCCCCCAACACCTAAAAAAAAACAGAAAAAAAAAACAACACACACCTAATTATAAAGAAGTTTCCCATTAGGTATGGTCATCCAACAGTTTTTCTCTAATGTTCATTGAGTGATACAGATATTGTATACAGATATATACATTTAATTAATAATGAATTCTTTTCCTTCAATAATTTGAACAAATATCTTATTATTCTTATTTGACGCTTAATTATTGCTGGCAACATTCCCAATTCGCCGGGCATAGCAGCGACATGGCCGTTTTTACCTACTTTTATAATATATATCTCATAAAATCATTTTGTACTTTATCAGTTGACTTAGCATTATGAAAACCCCAAACTTCACAGGCATAGTTAAAAACAGACGAAACCATGGTGTTAAATAATTGAAATTAAACAATTGGATTAAAATAAAAGTGCCCCCTTTGCTTTTTTCTCCTGTAACGCCACACGTTTTTCTGTTTTAGAGAATTTACCATTATCACATAATAGAAGACCCAGATATATGTATTGATCGACAATTTCAAGTTGTGTTTCATGAATATAAAATTTTAAGTTTATTGGTAGCCATCCACGGTGAAATATAACTACACTGAATTTTGGGTTTCTTAGCATTGATTTCTAAATCACAATTTTACAATAGTGGATAAATTTATTTAAAAGTAATTGCAAAGTTTCCGGTTTCGTAGCAAAGAGGGCCGTATCGTCTGCAAAGAGTAATGAATATTATAGTGATATTTTCTAGGTGTATAAAATTTGTATCATCGTTAGATGAAAACTCCCTAGGTCGTTAATAAATATTAAAAATAAAAGCGGGGTCAGTGATTCGCCTTGTTTAACTCCTGACATACTGAGAAATGACGTAGATAATTTACCCTTAAACTTAACAAAACTGCTCACTTTACTATACATGGATTTGATTATAGTTACCATTTTAGAGCTTACACCGATTGAATTAAGTTTATACAACAACTGATTTCTGTCTATTGTATCAAAAGCTTTACGCAGATCTATAAAAGCACAATAGAGTTTTTGGCGATTGTCTAGTGAATGACTAATTAATCCATTAAGAATAAAAAGAGCGTCAATAATTGTACTTTTATCTTTTCTAAATCCAAACTGAGTTTCATCTAATTTATTATTGCTTTCGCATCAAGTGTATAGACTATGATGTGGCTTTTAATAATGTTTGTTCAAACAATACCCATTGATGCATTAAACATGTGATAAGTTACAACTTCTAATATAGTGTAGTAAAATTTCTACACTGCATTGAAATGTTGATTTTGTTTTGCACAAGTATGAATTGTTGGCACTTAAGGTACTCCCTACAAAGTTGGCGGTACTTGTTCAGTAAAATTTGATGTCGAACTCTTAATCTATATAACATTCTGACTAGAAGCAATACAATCGGATCACAAAAACCGAGTCATAAAGTAGTAGTTTCAAAACTTGCGAAAGGATACCCCGATTCAAATGGTCATATCTCAGTCAATATCAATGCTAAAATCATATAATTTTGCAGTTTTACATAAGTCTGTATTTACCATAACATATATTTCTTTCATATGTTCTAAGGGGATCACTTTACAAATTTTCTGAGAATTTGGTCCACTTGGCACGGAAAAGTAGTGACTGGTTGACATAGACTAGATTACTAAAGTCGGTTGTGAATAATGTAATGTTTAGTATGGACGTCTGGTGGATCAAGACTACGTTGACAAATAGACAGCGCGCGAGAAAAGTAAACAATATCAATGATCGTTCGTATTTAATCAGATATTAAAGATAACAACATTAACCAATAATAAAATGACACAGGGATCTTTATACAAATTAATAACCGCTCCCTGTAATGGCCGCGACCAGACGATAGTAAAAGGTAACGAATAAATTTGGAGTAAATCAGGTTTTAATTTATTATTAACCTTTTATATCTATCTAGATTGATGTTTTAAATTTATAATTTGACAGTTCTGTCAATATGTCTGACAGTTCGGTTGTTTATACTGTGTATTAACGCATCTGTTGACATGGATAAAAGTGACATTATGCATGCTGTCATAATGTGTATAATAATAACTCTATATTCACAGCGTTCTATAATAACTCTATATTCACAGCGTTCTATATATCCAACTGTAATAGCCACATGGTGTGGTTTATAAGGTTTATCATTTATAAACTCTTTCTACGGTTTCTCATTTATCTATTTCTGCTATTCAGCCAGATAAACAATGGAAATATGTGATTCTCCAGAAAAAAAATAGATCACCCGATAAATACCGCTTAAATATAGTTGTCTCCCTTGAACCAAAAAACTACATTTCTCCGATTAACCCGTGATAAATAAAGTCACCAATAAGTTTACATGGAATAGACAAAGGCGTGCTATACAAATCATACAAAAACCAGTGTCGACGTATTCATGTAGGCTAATATTTCACTGTTAACAGTACCAGGGAGAGAGGGTTTAAAATTTGAATTCCCTACAGCAACGACAAACTAAAACAGTTTACTGAAATGCTCTGGTTCAACTTGGCTTTTCCTCACCCAAGGGGGCTTAGTTGGTCTAGTGGTTCAAAGATCGGGGCCTTAACATAACCATATCTTATCGGTTACCACATGTTTGCGAAAGGTCTGTCCGGGTATCTACTGCCCGAATTACACATCTCTTGACCATTATTTTAAGGGTATCCACACAAATAGGCAGGGTCCTCACATAGGGGGAGGGGGGCTGAGAGAGGGGTGTATTCCTGGGGTGTGACACAACTTTGGGGCTGCAAATTATATAAGGGAATACCAGAAACATTGAAAAGGGGACCCTTTGAATATTTATTGACTAGCCTCCTCCGGGGCTGAGACAACAAATCACCGGCCTTCGCTTCCCCTAAACCTGCGTAAGCCAGTTCATTTTTCAGCAAATAGAGAGGGCAAAATTATGATTTTTCCAAGATAACTTTTTTTTTTAACAATATTTATTCGATCAATATTTACATATTATAAAAAGACAATATTTAATTATGGGATCTGAAAACAAGCCGGAGCTTATATTAATCAATTTCCCGTAATAACTTTTTTACAGACATATAAATACATTGTTTATAATTACAATCACAATTTACATAAGGTTATAATTACAAAAGCAAAACATATTGATTCTCACTTGATAAAAATGTATAAAATACTTAATATACTTAGGTTAATGTTGAGTTAATGTGGTTAGCGACACGATTATGGTGTGGTGATAGAGTGGTGCGAAGGTGGTGCGAACCTCGAGTTGTGGATAATAGAGAGATAAGTTGAACAAGATAACTTAAAGGATTTGTTTATCAAATGGAGAGTATAAAAGTTAAAAATTGTATTTTAAAAATTTCTTTAATCATAAAAAATCAACTGTCAGAACAGTAGTGTGTTAAATCCCCGTTCACTTCATTTAATCGAACCTGAACCGCAGCACATGTATCGAACAGCCAATCTGCCCTGAATTAATTTTCTTATATATCACGTAATTGTTGTACATATAAGTTATAATATAGTTTATGATGGTGAACTTCTGTGAGTTATTTGCATCAATGAAAGTTAAGTTACAGCCAATATCACTTTACAACAAAGAACTACTTTATTTTATGTAATTAGTATAAATTAATATTTGTTATAAGGAATGTCACTTAAAAGGAAGAAATAGTCCAACATCAAGTCAGTCACTTTAAATCACGAATTAATGTTTAATATGGAATGTCACTTTAGATGTTGAACCCTTTTAGGTGATATTGATTATCACATGAAGTTGTTTATGAATTTACTAATATTGTATTATAAGGGATGTCTTTTTAAGGTGTCTAAAACACCCCAAAAAGCTTTTAAATTATTTTAGTTAGCCTATGCGAGCATATCCTTTACAGTCTGTTTCATACAGCAATTATTTGGCTAGTTAAATCAGTCATAATACAGGACATAGACCTTCTCTCTTTCGGCTCAAAAGAGAAACTCTTCAAAGTTTAATAAAGGGCAAATTTTAGAATGTAACCAATTTGAAAAATCAATAAGACACTATACGAGTCAAAAACCCAAAATGAATGCAAGAAGGTATTCGACTAAAATTGGCCATTGTAATTACGTCACGTGAACAGACATTATGTGGGTCAATCAACTGACACACAGTCGTGTTGTTATAGGCGAGCTTATTTAACGTTTGACGACTGCCAAAGTAAAAACCGAATCGATATCGTGGGACTCAGAGCTCAACATTACACAGCTATCTATGAACACTAATTCCACATTTAAACGCATAGTACCAAATGACCTTGTTAGTTTAAACCAATATTTATATATATACAGTGATGTCACCGTTTTTAAAATTGTTTTTATATCGTTAGAACAATCATAAGCTTTACATTATTTAGATTATGCTCATTATACGAATTATGCTAAAACATGAACAAAATTAATACAAATGCAACTATAATATACTGTATCTACATATATCAATGGAAGACTTAAAAATTATATCTTTAGATACTAGAGGTATGCATAATAAAATCAAACGTAATAAAATATTTGTATGGTTAAAGGAACAAAAAGCAAAAGTTATATTTCTGCAAGAAACACATAGCACAAACTCAGATGAAATCACCTGGCAACTAGAATGGGGAGATCACATAATATTTGCACACGGAAAGAGTAATTCAGCTGGAACTGCCATTTTATTTAATACATCGAGTAATCTAGATATTAAGTCATATACAGCTGATGAAAATGGATACTTTATTATTTTGATTTTAAACTGTTTACAGACTAATTTTTTATTCGTTAATACGTACAGCCCCACGATAGATATTCAACAAAAGGCCCATTTTCTTAAACTGCAAGATCAGATGCTAAAATTTTTTGAAGTTTACGACGACTTGTCAGTTATCATAGGCGGGGATTTTAACAATGTGATGAACAAAGACTTGGATAGAACGGGTGGAAATTATAAAATAAAAAAAACAACAGCAAGGTATCTATTATTAACATAATAAAATATTTTAATCTTATCGATATATTTAGAGTTAGAAATCCAAAGTTACGTAGATATACGTGGAAACAGCTTAAGCCTTTAATACAATGCAGGATAGATTTTTGGTTAATCTCGGCCACTACTCAAGAGTTTGTAAAAGAGTGCACCATTATACCAAACACATTCAGTGATCATCAATCAATTGCTATTAAAATATGTACTATTGATTCAAAAAGAGGGCCTGGACTATGGATATTTAATAACAATCTGATATTAGATAAAAATTATTAAAGAACGCCATCAGTATATGGAAGGATGAATATCATGATAAGGAAGATAGAGGGCGACTTTGGGATTACGTTAAATTTAAAATTAAAAATTAAACCATAAAATACTGTAAAAAGAAACAAAAAATTAAAAGTAAGTTAAAAGAAAAAACTAATACAAGAAATGCAGGGTCTAGAAAATAAAATTTCATCCTTAAACACTCATGATGTCGAAACATACGAAAAATATTACTTCGTTAAACACAAGCTTGATCAAATTTATGATATAGAAATCCGTGGGGCTATCTTAAGATCTAAAGTGGAGTGGCACGAAAAGGGGGAAAAGAATACAAAATTATTGCTAAGTTTAGAAAAACAAAATATCAACATCATTAAACAGAATTCAAAAAGATAATAGTGAAATTACTTGCCCAAAGGAAATATCAAGGGAAATTTATAACTATTACTCGAATCTTTATTCAGAGACTACCCATAACAAATCAGGCCTCGAGGATAAAATATTCCTCAGGAAACAGTACATTCCAAAAATTAAATGAAAATCAAAGTCAGATGCTGGAACATAAAATTGACAACCGTGAATGTTTGGAAGCATTAAAACTATTTAAAAACAATAAAACCCCAGGCAATGATGGACTGAATATAGAATTTTACCGTGAATACTGGCCACTTATTAATACATTAGTACTAAACTCATTTAACTATAGTTTTAAACACAAGCAATTATCAGAGTCACAAAGACAATCGATTATTAAACTAATACCAAAACCTGGCAAAGATAAATCACTTCTATCTAACTGGCGGCCCATCACACTTATAAATGTAGACGTAAAATTAGCAAGTTAGATTTTATCATTGAGATTAAAACCCTTTCTTCAATATTTAATACATCCAAATCAAACTGCTTTTATTTCTGGACGGCATATACAGGAAAATACTCGTATCATTGATGATTGTTTTTACCTCGCAAAAATTAAGAAAATAACTGGTTTTCTTTTAGCCATTGATTTTAAAAAAGCTTTTGATAGTGTTAGCCATAAATATCTGTTTTCTGTTTTAGACGCAATTACTTAAGATGGATACAAACATTATATAATGACATTAACTGTGCAGTAATGAATAATAGGGGAGTACGTCAAGAGCACAAATCTTTTTAACCTCGTTACCGAAACATTATGTATATATTTTAGAAACGATATAAACATAGGGGGAATTATCTTTGGGAATCAATCGTTAAAACTAATAGCTTTTGCAGATGATATGACAGTTTTATTGAAAGATTTTAAATCAGCTAGGCACCTTTTTGAGGTTTTAAAAAACTTTAGTAAGGTTTCTGGGTTAGAATTAAACGCTACTAAAACTGAAGCGATCGATCTAAACAGTGGCAACGCACAACTACCTGATAATATTAAAGGTTTAGGCTTTATTTACCGTGAGAATTATATAAAAATAGTAGGCATTACCTGTTCACTAGACGAAAAAACTTCGGAAAAAATGAATTTTGAAAATAGTATAGACCAAATTGAAGATACTTTGAATACCTGGAAAAGACGAAACTTAAGTTTAATAGGGAAAATCCATATAATAAAAACATTCTGCGTATCTAAAATATTATACCCTGCATCAGTTAAAACTATACCTGAAAATATAATTAAAAGCATTAATAAATTATTTTATAACTACATATGGAACGGGTCTGATAAACTAAAGAGAACAGTTATAAATCAAGATATAAATAAAGGGGGGCTAAATATGATTGACTTAAAAGAAATGATGATATGCCGTAGCGTATTCTGGATAAAAAAGATACTATCACACGATGTTCAATCATGGAAAATTCCGTACGCTTATATATTAAACGATTATGACGGACAAATATTACCGGCGTGTAATTATGCAACAGTTTTTTTAAAAATTATCTCCCTTCTATCAAGCACTTTTCAGTAATTGGTTCCATATCTATACATCAAAAATCGATATGTTAATACGCCCTCAAAATCAAATCATCTGGAACAATAAGCATAAACAAAAAACCTTTAATAGATAAAGAATTGATGAATGATAATATTTTATTTTTGTAGAGAAGACTTTTTAATCAATAGGATAATGAATAGTAATAAAATATTAAGAATGAAAAGCGTTTGCTTAGCAGTTAAAGGGTTTTTGGATACAATCGACTACGAACCTACGCCTATAGTAAGAAAACAAAGCGTGTTTGACATTATTAATAACAACTGTATAAATATATATAAAAAATCACTAGATAAGATTAAAGCAAAAGACATTTATTCAATACGAGTAGATTCTAAATATAGTAAACCATTAGCAATAAGTAAATGGGAAGAAGAGAATAGTTTTATATTTGAAGAACGTGAAACCTCATGTATATTCAATTTGGTCTATAAAACGAGCACTGATACTAGATTACAGAATTTTCAATTTAAATACCTCCATAAAATTATATATACAAACGACCGTTTATTTAAAATCCAATTAAATGAGTCTCCATTGTGCGATTTTTGTTATTCAAATATAGAAACCCCGGAACACCTTTTTATATACTGCAATTACGCCCAGGTAATATGAAATGATTTACATGAAATCTTCTCAACTAATGACATTTCATTACAATTACAACTTACGAACATTCATTTCGGTTTTCTGAAAGAAACAGTTTTTAAATCATATCGTGAATTCTTATTTGTAAATCATTTAATATTTTTAACAAAATACTACCTCTACAAATCGAAAATAGAAAATGTCAGACCGACAATTATTAATTATCGAAACTACCTAAAAGGTAAACCACAGATAGAAAATGAATTAAACGAAACCTTAGTAAATAAATGGGATTATACCATATGGATATTATCCATACCTCTAGTATTCCATTTCTAGTATTCCAACTCCTTAATACCTCTAGCTATTTTTGTATTTTTTTTTTGTTTAGTTTTTTTTTAGCTTTTATTTTCTTTGTGAATATATTTGTTCTACTCAGTGAAATATAGTATAGCCTTCAACTATAAACCGACTGTATCTGTATGATGTTACACACTGTGATTGTAATATGTGAACTATGTACTATGCTGTTATTGATAATTTTGAAATAAAGATTTTGAAAAAAAAAATCAACTGAGTGCAGGCATTGAAAAACCCAGTTACACAGCATGATATAGGTCACTGAAACTTTTTTCCTGGGGCGCCACATAGGCTTGTGAGGGCCCTGCAACTAGGACCAAAGAACACTCGTATCAAGACAACTCGGACAAATATAAGTTCGCTTTGACCAAGATCGAAGACTACTCGGACCAAGATTAGAAGACCACTTGACCAACAAATAAATTGATAGTTGTATTTGTTTTAATGCATTTGTGTTTTCTTTGAAGATCACTAGGCCATTTGCAGACACATATAAACAACTGGCACAGAAGATGGAGCGGGGGTTCTGATTGATTGATTTGGTACTTTGATTGCGATACTGCAATTAGGAACCCAGCGGTGCTAAAAGTCGTAGCTTGCATTCATATTTTACATTTTAGAAATTTTCTACACCATTAAGTCAAAGTCGTTATTGGAAGTCCAAGCTATGGATAAAGACGCCTCCATACAGAATGGTGCCCTTTTGGAATCACCTGTCAGTGATTGATTTGGTACTTTGATTGCGATACTGCAATTAGGAACCCAGCGGTGCTAAAATCGTAGCTTGCATTCATATTTTACATTTTAGAAATTTTCTACACCATTAAGTCAAAGTCGTTATTGGAAGTCCAAGCTATGGATAAAGACGCCTCCATACAGAATGGTGCCCTTTTGGAATCACCTGTCAGTGCTGGTGACGGACTACCAAATGCTGGTGAAGATGTAGCACAAGATGGAACTAAAACGAAGTCTTTCCTTCAGAGAATTAGACAGTCGTCATACAGATCCAAATTTATTCAGAGTGTTTCACTTTCTTTTGCTTTCTGGTGTTTAGTAAGTACTATTAATCTTTATTTGATATGGACTTCAAACTCAGACTTTTGTTAGCCACTAGTCTAAATTGATGGGTATTAGGATTAGCTACAGTGTCAGTATTTACTAGTAAATGGTATTAGAATTAGCTACACTGTCAGTATTTATTAGTAAATGGTATTAAAATTAGCTACACTGCCAGTATGTATTAGTTAATGGTATTAAAATTAGCTACAGTGTCAGTATTTACTCGTAATTGGTGTTAGAATTAGCTACAGTGTCAGTATTTACTAGTGATGGGAATTAGAATTAGCTACCCTGTCAGTATTTACTAGTAAATGGTATTAAAATAAGTTATACTGTATTCACTAGTGATGGGATTGGTATTAGAAATAGCCATGGTCTCATACAAGTAGTGACATGTTTTACCCCCCCCCCCCCCCGATAATCAATGAATACTGTGTAGTTTACCGACTATGTACTATAGACATTGAATTTTATCAGTCTAAAGTAATGGCGAATTGTATCATTTAATATCATAACTCGGTGATACTGTGGCTGACTATCGGATTCGTTTCGCTTATACGTGGCGACAATTTATCCTAGCGAATAAAAAACACCTGGGTATAAAATAGTTCCAACTTCAAATACCTATAACATTCATCGGTTGCTAATACCAAGTAGGTCATAGTGCCGCTGCCCGGGCAAAATGTCACTCATTGCACACTGTATAGCGTATTCCCGTCTTCATTAGCCAAGTCGGAGCAGAACAGTAGGACGTTAAACCCCATTTCATTTCATTTCAGTTTAATATAATGTGAAGCCGCTTAACCGGGATGTTCACCAATCGAAACACTGCATTAATCATACCCTTTACTTTAACTATTTTAACAAATCTCTTCCGTCTTCATTAGCCCAGTATAGGAGCAGAACAGTAGGACGTTAAACCCCATTTCATTTCATTTTACAAATCTCTGTTTTATAACTTTTTAATTTGTCTAACACACTTCTATATTGTTATAGCTCATAATCTTTCTTTTGGTTTAGGGTATTCAAATTGGTCAGAGGGGTCCATCATTCTTGGATATCCAACTAATAACTAACACTAATGTGGAAAAAGCTTCTACGTTTTTTACTGCTGGTTCTGTAGGCTATCTGTGTGGTTCCTTAATCAGTGGCGTCCTGTATGACAGATTTAACAAAAGGCTTCTACTGTGTTTGATTTTAGTATTCATGGCTATCACGGTCGCCGTACTACCACTGTGTTCACCATATGGACTCATGCTGGTGATCTTCTGGGCTAATTCGTGTTTTATGGGCGGAATGGATACAGGTAAGAACCAGATAAATTCATCAGACACCTCAAATTATATATGGCGTTGATTACATTTTGTCAAGTTCGGTAGCATGGGACATTGAATTAATAAATTGCATAACTGTCGCTCCAACCCCCTTGACTACAAATGTGTATTGAGACTTCAATAGAAATGGATTTATTAAGAAATTATCTTACGCCTGACAAATTGTTACACTGTCGTATGCAAATAATATGTATTTGTGTACATATGTCTATCCGTGCATCAAAAGTTAAAACGATCGCTCCCTTTCTCTTGGGGGTGGGGGTGGGGCGCTAAGAGACCAGACGACTTTGCACCCAGGGCGCCACTGTGACCCAGCGTGTGAAGAGCCCGACTCACTAATCATTGGGCGTTTGGTTGTTTATGTTAATGATATGTATTGTTTTTATCAGAGTAATATCATAGGGGAACGTTCCATTGTCAGTCCAGAACGTTCCGACGCGGAATTCAGTCCCATCACAGTTCTGTCAGTCCCGACAACTGAGGTGGTGTGAGTAGAATCGTGACGAAATTAAACACAACGAATATGTTTCAGCTGTCATAGTTGGTGCATGCGGTCTAGCCCAGATCCCCATGTTCACTCTATTGTCACTATTTTTTGGTCTGACATAGTTCAATCGAGCACTCCCATGGAGTACTTGCGTCTGATGTGAATAATTAAGCGATAAGTCTCCATCAGCCAGGACTGTAAGTCTTCGCTTGGTATCCGATTGCCTGACGGATTGGATATACAGTTCGCCTAATGTACCGCAAGTCATCAGTTGGCAATGAAGCCTGCATATTTTGAATACAAGGTGAAGGGCAACAAGTTGTGACAATATATGCTTTATGCTGGAATGACTCGAGATAAATAGGTTTGCCATCCAATGATCACAAGAACCAAGGTATTATATTCTGTGAGAGAGAGAGAGAGAGATGGTATAACGTCCACTCGACACGAATTAGGTCATTTCGGGACTAACATATGGTTCAATTTTATTTCGATTGCGCGTGGGGGTCTTTAGCAGTGGAAGGAAATTTGGGGACCCGGAGAAAAACCACGAGGTTGGACATGCGACCCTACTCCTTGTCACATACAACCGGGGAATCAAAACTACGCCAGTTGACTCAATGACAGCACACGCGCTAACAATTCGGCCATGCAACACCCCTTGAAGACAATGGCGTATGTATTGGTGTTGAACTGTTTATGCTTTCTGTTTAATCTCTTGGGTTTGACTTGTATTTAAATGTTATAATCACAGTCGACCAGTAGCTTAATCGTGTATTTAACTTGTTTTTACAGCTGGAAACGCTCTTCTTGTTTCACTGTGGGGAGAAGAGGAAGGTAGACCATACATGCAGGCCGGGCATTTTGCCTTCGCCTTTGGTGGAGTTGTCTCGCCTTTAATGACGGCCCCGTTCCTGGCTCCAAACACTGAAGAGATATCGATCAACTCCTCGTCAACAACATTTACCCTACATTCTTCTCTTTTGTCCAATACCACGACCCCACCGTCTAGTCCTGTGCTGAATACTACGCTATTAGATTATAACATCACCAATGATAACTCAACTCTAGGAAACAATATCACCACAGTTGCTGAACCTATTGGAACTAAATTAATCTATGCTTATATAATATCTGGTATTCTCACCTTACTATCCGCCATTCCTTTCATGGTGATATATTGTCGTTACAAGTCACAGAAGATGAAGAGGAATCAACCCAAGAAGCAGGATGAAGATGGACTACCAAGAGATCTTCCTTGGAAATATTTCATAGTGGCTGTTGTTCTTTTAAATTTGCTCTATGTAACGTATTGTGCTGTAGAGGACACATTTGCCGCGTATTTACTGACTTTTGTGGTAATGCAACTGAAATGGAGTAAGGCGAAGGGCACGCAAGTTACTTCTGTATTTTGGGCAGCTTTTGCTATAGGGCGATTTTCAGGAATTTTTGTTATACGTTGTTTTCGACCGGGTGCAATAATATTTTTGTTCCTAGCAAGTTTAATTTTAAGCTTGACGGGCTTTTTACTCTGTTCACATTATCAAATACACATAGGAATTTGGATTTTCGCAGTTTTAGTCGGCCTTTCTCTGTCCGTTGTATTTCCTACAGGGTTCACCTGGGCTCAAGAAAATCTCCTCAACATAAATGGTAAAGTAACATCTATTATATTAATAGGTGCGTCAACCGGCACCATGATCAATCCTATTATTATGGGATATTTGATGGAAGAGTTAACTCCCATGTGGTACTGTTATTTATTAGTAGGCGAGAGTATTTTATGTCTTGCAATATTTGTCGTTTTGTTATTCGTATCTAAATTTGTTTTAGTTCACAAACGTATCTTGAAAACTATCACAATAGAAGTTGAGTCACCGCAAGCAGAATCTATTAATAATGGCACACCTTTTATACCAAATAATAATATATCATCTGAACTATGAAATTCCATATTAAAATTATTTTAGTAATTGTTTGGTTATTAAATAATGTGATATAGATATTTTTTATTATTTTAAATACATTTATACCATCTGGAAATTTCGTTTTATCGTTTGAGAGGCACAACATCAAGAAAGTTACGCTTGTTTAGAATCCCCATCTTCATCATTGGTGGAGAAATGTAAGATGGTTTACCCCATTTCAAGTCTGTTTAGATGTCATCTTATAAATTGTTGTAGTAACCTGGACTGAACAGGACATACTGACCCATTCGTATCCACGATTAGCCGTGTGTTTATTTAAGATGTCATCTTATGCATTGTTCTAGTAACCTGGACTGAACAAGACTCGCCGAACCATTTATCTCCACGAGTAACCGTGTGTTTAATTAAGAACTATCAGACCATGTGCAGATTTTATAATTAATATCATTAGACCAGTCGGCGTGGGACGTTAAACCCCTTTTGTATTTTACCCGTTAATATGACACGAATTGTTTACCTATTGTAGCATTACTTGATTGTGGGGAGAGCCATGGGCAGTTTTAGGGCGTCACATTTGTTATATATATTATTAATAATATGAAATGGGGTTTAACGTCCCACTGTTCTGCTCTGACTGAGCTAATGAAGAAGGGCAGTCGCCATACATGTGCTATGAGGGGAATTTTGTCCTACGGAGACACGACGGCCTAAAGTGCTGTTATATCGAAGTCAATCTGCGTAGGGATCTTTTATGTACACCTTGGTTTTGGTCCCATCCGAACGACTATACATTGTCCCTTGCCAGACCCTCTGTCCTGCACCACTGACAAGGGTTAACCACGCTGGAAAATCTCAAAATTTAAAAAAAAGCTACGTTTTGAAACTCTAGACGAATACAAAAATAAAAAATCACACCTAAAGGAGTTTCTCATTTCCCATTAGGTATGGTTATTTTACAGATATTTTCCAAGATTAAGCAGTTTTATATTATTATCACCGTGATTCATAAGGTTTTTTTAGTTTTTGAAGTGATGGAAAAGACCAAAAATATCGCGAAAAATATTTTCTACGGATGGATATATAAGCGGGACAGCACAGCAGAAAGTGAAATTCATCTTCAACAACTTTCATATTACAACATTTGCATAATCTTTTGATTTTATTATATCGCCCGGTTTCAATATTTAGCTGGAGAAGACCACAACGAAAATGACATATAACAGTTTTATATTTTACTTGAATATTCGATTTGAGGTATGTTTCTGGTTCATGAATAGTTTTATATAATTTATAAAACCATAGTTTACTTGATTCCTCTATTGTTTCGAACCATTTCTGGTAAAATTGATCTTTTAAACGAAGTTCTATTTGTGATAAAATTGATATAACCAAAGCATTTTGAGGATGCCATATAAAGGAAAACCCTACGTTATTTAAAATTAATTTAATTTCAGTTGCCCAGATTAAAGAACCACGTAGCGAATGATTCATTATATACAAGAGTATCCTTTCACAGTCCCATACAACAACTTTTGATCTTCGAAGGAATTTTTAGTGAGCAGAAATTCGCCCATGTATCTGTTATCACCCGTCACTTCAGCCAGTTTTATAGAGGGATAACTCGTGTTTTCCTTTTGCGTTCGTCACTTCCTATTGTTGAAACATTGATTACTCATCTATCGTAGCAATGATCTCTGTGACAAAATAATATTTGGAACGTGTTTGACCAGTTCTATCACATACGCGATAATGACTAGCACCAATAGTGTCCTTTAACCAATAATAAAATGACACAGGGATCTTTATACAATTTAATAACCGCTCCCTGTAATGGCCGCGATCAGACGATAGTAAAAAGTAAAGAACAAATTTGGAGTAAATCAGGTTTTAATTTATTATTAACCTTTTATATCTATCTAGAAATGATCTTCTAAATTTATAATTTGATAGTTCTGTCAATATGTCTGACAGTTAGCTTGTTTATACTGTGTATTAACGCACCTGTTGACATGGATAAAGGTGACATTATGCATTCCGTATTAATGTGTATACTAATAAGTCTATATTCACAACGTTCTATATATCCAACTGTAATATCCACATGGTGTGGTTTTATATGTTTATTTATATATTATAAACTCTTTCTCATACATCTATTCATACCATTCAGCCAGATAAACAATGGAAATATGTGATTCTCCAGAAAAAAATATATCACCCGATAAATACCGCTTAAATATAGTTGTCTCCCTTGAACCAAAAATTACATTTCTCCGATTAACCCGTGGTTGTTGCTGATATGTTCTGCTATTGCGGAGTTAGGTTGTTACACGTTTGAACATATTTACCTTCTAGTTTACTAAGTTCATTAACACACTTAACTGCCTCATCTCCATACTGATGACGAATATAATCCTTGAGTGGCATTTAGCGATTGAACACATTAAAAAAACACAACACAGTTTATATGGAAATACAATCACTGGTTTATAAGTATAGCACGACGTTTCGACAAGTATTCTCTTATCGTTATCAAACGTGTAACAACCTAACTCCGCAATAGCAGAACATATCAGCAAGAACCAGGGCCACGAACCAGACTGGAAGAATTAAATTTATGGCTTTGTAGTCTCCCTGATTATTGTTAACCCCTGATTATTGTTAACCCCTATCAATTAACTATTATTTAAGTTTTAATTATCCTTTGATCAATTTAACTATTATCTTGTATTATAACAGCATTTACCTATGGTAGGGTGACCCACCATAAATAAATATCTCCATATATCTCCATATATCTCGACAACTACGTCACAATATTTATATATATGCCAAGCCTCAAATCAGTTTCAAACAATTATAGTCACTAAATAAACGATCATGTTGTACTTAATAAGCTATGACCATTAATCATCTATAAATAATAGACTGAAAACTGGTTCCAAGTGTCGTCCATAACATCCAGACACTTTTGAGTAAAAGATAGGTTACGTGCCCTTGTTTTGAAATTAGTCTCGCTTAACCAGTCTATCGACCATTCTACGTCTGATTGACAGGTCGGGATAACCAAGACTACTTTTTTACGAAACATAACAGAAAGCTAGAACAAGAAATTGAATTTAGAAATAAGCACGTTAGGTAGCTCAACAATCGTTTTAAGAACCTTGTAAAAGTAAAATGAAACTACTGCTAGTATCATGTTCCTGTATAACCCGAGTGATTCAGAGATATTATTTGTACTAAACCAAAAGATGCCGCTCTTAACGGTACAGTTAATGATAAAGCGATTTAAAAAATGAAACGAACGTAATTTCTAAATCTGCTGTAATAACCAAGAAGCTTAATTTCACTGCTATTCAAAATCGTCAACAATAAATCTTTTACGGCTGTAATAGGTGATAGATTTGTAGAGAATTGCACGTGCCATGGCTATTTATAGTATCATACTTCATGGCTTCTTTTTTTGTTTTACTATAAATATCACCTTTTAGTTTAACTAAATATCATTTGTGCTTGATAACGATAAGAGAATACTTGTCGAAACGTCGTGCTATACTTATAAACCAGTGATTGTATTTCCATATAAACTGTGTGGTGTTTTTTTTAATGTGTTCAATCGCTAAATGCCACTCAAGGATAGAAAATCTGTCATTAGAGAAATCTTTAATACATTTTACTTTCGTCACCCTAGGAGGGATGTGTGGTCTAGTTGTATGAAGATCAGGGCCATGCCATAACCATATCTTATCGGTTATCGCATGCAGGGCAGGTCATTATACACGGCCACTTCACTGGGTAATCGCATGCAGGGGATTATTACAGCATTCTATTATATGTATTGAAACTCCCAACAATTAACACGAGTTCCCAATACTGTGTTTGTCCTATACCGTGGTCGTCGATGTTTACGCAAGGTCTGTCAGTGTATCTGCTATCCATAATGCACATCTCGTGACCATTATTTTAAGGGTATCCAGACAAATAGGTGGGACCCTCACATAGGGGGAGGGGGACTGATAGAGGGGTATATGCTTGGGGTGTGACACTACTTTGGGGGTGCAAATCATATAAGTGCATACCAGAAACATTCAAAAGGGCACCCTTTGAATATTTATTGACTAGCCTCCTTCGGGGTTGAGATAGCAATTCACCGGCCTTCGCTTCCCCTAAACCTGCGTAAGCCAGTTCGTATTTCAGCAAATAGAAAGGGTAGAATTATGATTTTTCCAAGATATCTTATAATAATAATAATATAATATATATTGTTTATAGACCGTTACACACAAATTGTCTCAACCGTCTTTACATGGGCGTACTACACATAGTATATACATAATAATAAATGAATAAAAACTATCAATAACTCATAAAACATCTCAATTAAAGATATACAAATGTATGCCTATAATAATATTAGTTTGACTAATAGTATTATTGTCTAATCGAATAAATATGTTTTGAGGTTGAATTTAAACAGGCTGAATTTGGTGAGTGATCGGGAGATTATGAAAGTATAAAAATTGTATTTTAAAATTTCTTTAATCATAAAAAATCAACTGAGCGTAGGTCACTGAACAACACAGTTACACAGTATGCAAGGATGCAAAGGGGGGGGGGGTAGGTCACTGAACAACACAGTTACACAGTATGCAAGGGGGGGGGGTCACTGAACAACACAGTTACACAGTATGCAAGGAGGGGGCACTGAAACTTTTGCCCTGGGGCGCCACAAAGACTTGCGAGGGGCCCTGTAACAAGGACCAAAGAACACTCGGGTCAAGACAACTCGGATCACGAGAAAACCGATTTGACCATGATAGAAGACTACTCGGACCATGATTTTAGAAGACCACTTAACCAACAAATAAATTGATAGTTGTATTTGTTTTAATGCATCCGTGTTTTCTTTGAAGATCACTAGGACATTTGCGGACACATATAAAAGACTGGCGCAGAAGAGTGAGCGGGGGTTCTGATTGATTGATTTGGTACTTTGATTGCGATACTGCAATTAGGAACCCAGCGGTTCTAAAAGTCGTAGCTTGCATTAATATTTTACATTTTAGAAATTTTCTACACCATTAAGTCAAAGTCGTTATTGGAAGTCCAAACTATGGATAAAGACGCCTCCATACAGAATGGTGCCCTGTTGGAATCACCTGTCAGTGGTGGTGACGGACTACCAAATACTGATGAAGATATAACACAGGATGAAACTAAAAGAAAGTCTTTCCTTCAGAGAATTAGACAGTCGTCATACAGATCCAAATTTATTCAGAGTGTTTCACTTTCTTTTGCTTTCTGGTGTTTAGTAAGTACTATTAATCTTTATTTGATATGGACTTCAAACTCAGACTTTTGTTAGCCACTAGTTTAAATTGATGGGTATTAGGATTAGCTACAGTGTCAGTATTTATTGGTGATGGGTATTAGAATTAGCTACACTGTCAGTATTTACTCGTGATTGGTATTAGAATTAACTACACTGTCAGTATTTACTCGTGATTGGTATTAGAATTAGCTACCCTGTCAGTATTTACTCGTGATTGGTATTAGAATTAGCTACACTGTCAGTAATTACTCGGGATTGGTATTAGAATTAGCTACCCTGTCAGTATTTACTAGTGATATTAGAATAAGCTACACTGTCAGTATTTACTAGTGATGGGATGGGTATTAAAATTGGTCATGGTCTCATACATGTAATGACATGTTTTACTCCCATGATAGTCAATGAATACTGTGTAGTTTACAGACTATGCATTATAGACACTGAATTTTATCAGTCTAAAGTAATTGCGAATTGTATCATTTAATATCATAACTCGGTTATACTGTGGCACTGACTACCGGAATCGTTTCGCTTAAACGTGGCGACAATTTTTCCTAGTGAATAAAAAACACCCGCGTATAAAATAGTTCCAACGTCAAATGAATATAAAATACATCAGTTGCTAATACCAAGTAGGCCATAGTGCCGCTACCCGGGCACAATTTCCCTCATTGCACACTGTATGCCGTTTGCCCGTCTTCATTAGCCAAGTCGGACGTTAAACCCCATTTCATTTTAATATAATGTGAAGCCGCTTAACCTGGATGTACACCAATCGAAACACTGCATTAATCCAACCCATTCCTTTATCAAACGCACATCAAATAGGTTGAACTATTTTAACAAATCTCTGCTTTATAACTTTTTATTTTGTCTAACACACTTCTATATTTTTATAGCACATAATCTTTCTTTTGGTTTAGGGTATTCAATTTGGTCAGAGGGGTCCATCATTCTTGGATATCCAACTAATAACTAATACTAATGTGGAGAAAGCTTCCACGTTTTTTACTGCTGCTTCTGTAGGCTATCTGTGTGGTTCCTTACTAGGTGGCGTGCTGTATGACAGATTTAACAAGACGCTTCTACTGTGTTTGATTTTAGTATTCATGGCTGTCACGGTCGCCGTACTACCACTGTGTTCACCATATGGTCTGATGCTGGTGATCTTCTGGGCTAATTCGTGTTTTATGAGCGGATTGGATACAGGTAGGAAGCGGGGTAGATTAATCAGATACAGGAAATAATCATTGATGTTCGTCAAACTTTTTTTAAATCGATGGAATTGGATTTATTAAATTTCATATTTATCGCCCGAACCGCTACACCTATCATTTTGCACTAAGAGATCAGTAGAAATGGCCTCATTAATAAATTAGTAGCTTACGCCCGACAAATAGTCAAAATATTGTATTAATAATAATAAAACAATAATACATATTTTGGTCGATATGTCTATCCATACAAGCAAAGTTAAAACACCGTTCGTTTTTTGTTCTCCTGGGGTAAACGCGACGAGATCAGAAGAATCAGTGAGTACATCGGTGACGTCTGGGCGCCATAAAGGCAGAAGCTATCATCGAATTTAACTGTCCTGTTTATGTTCATCATGTCTATTGTTTTTATCAAACATCTTGGGGTTTGTCTGTAATGTCACTAAACATCACAGAGTAAAAATAACCAAATCTCTTTAATTTCGTAGTTTTATAGTATATTCGGTCACAAAACTACTGAGAATTATCACATACAATCATATGTTAGTTGTGTGTGTGTTTCGGGAATTTTTAAAACTTGATTCATATTTTTAAAACATGGATAAACGCAGCGTGGAACGGCCCGGACTGAAGTGAAAGACGGCAATAATTGTGACGGTTTACGAATTGGTCTAGGCTGTAAAGGTTTTTACTAACTTTAAAACTAATCCACCAAATACTTGTAGTTTCGATTTCTAGATTTGAAAGTAATTTTCATACATCTTAATATGGGCCATTTGAAAATGTTAAAGTGCCACACCCTCCTTTGGATAAGGCCTATTTTACTCAACATGATTTATTCCCCCCCCCCCCCAAAGAATTCTTCTAGAGCTTATTACTGTGTGTTTCTCTTATTTATGTTATGTTAATAAAGTAAGCTTCCATTAAAATATAAAATAATAATTTAAGAATATTAATATTGAATTTCAAATAGGCCTATAACGTTTTCCAATTATAAACAGATTTGAGCGTTGGTTGTTTTCCAAGATTAAATACTCTTGGCTCTAGCTCTTTTAGGAACTGTATCTGATCGGACTATGTCCGCTGACAGTTTCTATCGCTTGCTATATAGCTGCAATATGAAAATAACATATGAATCTAAATTTATTTTATTCAGTAGACTTGCGGTATTATAGAATGTAAAAAGAACATGTGCAGCTAGTTCAGACTTAATGGGTAAAGCTTACTTTTAAAAATCACAACTACACGTAATTCTAAAATTACAAAAATACTGTTATGCTATTCCCCTTTTACTGGTAGGCCTTAATCCGGCGAATAAAATATTTGCTGAAGCACTATCAATAATTTAAACCATTCAGTAATTCAAAATATAATTTTAATCTACATGTACTCTGTGATTATCTATTATGCTGTAATGGTTAACTTCAGTTTGTATGGCAGATAATTCCATAATAGAATACAGTATAAATTAAATTTTCTATTTCTAAATAATCAGTTGACAAAAAATCACAAAAATAAAAGTAACTCTGAACACAGATCAGACCTAATGGCATGGCTATCTAGAGCAAACTTCAGATTTATAATAATTTAATATATTCTTGTGCAGTAGTGTAAAATGGACAATTTCATAGTATCGTGGGGCCTATAAAGGCCGTCAAAATATTACATGACACCCAGAGCAATATGCAAAATATTCATTATCAAGATGTTTTTGGTTTATACTTGTTTGTAAAAAGAGAAACCAATCAACTCAAATAATGTTTATTGAAAAATGTTATAGGCATATTTAAAATAGAATTTTAATATCTTTAATTATTTTATTTTTTACAAATGGAAGCCTACATTAATTAATAGAACAAAAATCATAAAAAGCACACGGTGAGTCAACGTTGGAGCCAAAGGTATTTTATCTTGGAAAACAACCAACGGCTCAAATCTGTTTATTGGAAAACGTTATATGCCTATTTGAAATTCAATTTTAATATTCTTAAATTATTATTTTATATTTTAATGAAAGCTTACTTTATGAAGATAACATAAAATAGAGAAGCACACAGTAATAAGCTCTAGAAGACAAAGGAATTTTTCTTTGGGAGAAAAATAAGTGATGTTTATGTTGAGTAAAATAGCTAGGCCTTATCCATAAAAGGGCGTGGTACATTTTGACAATTTCAAATGGCCCATTTTAAGGTGTATGGAAATTACATTTCAAATCTAGGAATGGAAACAACAAGTATTTAGTGGAATAGTTTCAAAGTTAATAAAACCTCTTAAAAATCGACAGTAATTTACGGCCTTAAATAGACCAATTCGTAAACCGTCACAAATGCCGTCTCTCGTCTCAGTCTCACTTCCTTCATTCCGGGTCGTACCACGCTTTATGCATGTTTTAAAAATATGAACCATGTTTTATAGATTCCCGAAACACACACACAACTAACATATTATGATTGTATGTGATAATTCTCAGTAGGTTTGTTACCGCAAATACTATAAAACTACGAAATTAAAGAGATTTAGTTCATCGATATAGATATTGTAACGTCGTTGAGCGAACTGTCAGTGTGTGTTTATTACAGACAATTCCCAAGATGCATTGCGCGTCACTGTGTTACTGTGGGCCGTAATGCGAGTCGCCACTCTGTGTATTTTTACTCTGTGTGTCTACTCTGAAGAATATGTCTCGATCACCTAGGCCTATATAGTCTTTGTCTGGACGGAATAAAAACCGTTGTTTATATGGTAACCGGGGGGGGGGGGGGTGGCTGAATGGTTAGCGTGCGCGCGCTGTATCATACAGTCTGTCATTGAGTCGACTGGCGTGGTTTCGAATCCCCAGTTGTACGTGACAAGGAGTAGGGTCGCCTGTCCAACCTCGTGGGTTTTCTCCGGGTCCTCCGGTTTCCTCCCACTGCTAAAGACCCCTACGCGCAAGCGAATTAATGAAATAAAATTAAACCATATGTTAGTCCCGAAATGACCTAGTTTGTGTCGAGTGGACGTTAAACCTCATTTCTCTCTCTCTCTCTTTATATGGTAACCGAATGCCTGGCGGATGAATTGGGTTTACAGTTCGGGTGATGACTTATGAGATATATTTTATTTCATCAGTTGACAATGCAGTCTGCATATTTGGAATACAAGGTGAAGGTCAACAAATTGTAAGACTCTGGGGACCCGGATCTCCGAATGACCCTTGACATTTTATATTTTGTTCAAACTATTATCGTTGTAGTCGAAGTAGAGACTATATTCTGGAATAGTCGAGGTAAATAATGTTGCCACCATCTTCGTAATTACATAATCCTGTACTTAATTTGTTTTGCAGCTGGAAACGCTCGACTTATTTCTCTTTGGGGAGAAAAGGAAGGTAGGCCATACATGCAGGCCGCGTCGTTTGCATTTGCATTTGGTGGAGTGATCTCCCCCTTATTGACAGCACCATTCCTTGCACCTAAACCGGAAGAGATATCAAACAACTCATTGTCAATAGGTTTTACAGCCGGGACGACTACGCTATTAGATTATAACATCACCAATGATAATTCAACTCTAGGAAACAATATCACCACCGTTGCTGAACCTATTGAAACTAAATTAATCTATGCTTATATAATATCTGGTATTGTCACCTTACTATCCGCCATTCCTTTCATGGTGATATATTGTCGTTACAAGTCACAGAAGATGAAGAGGAATCAACACAAGAAGAAGGATGAAGACGAACTACCAAGAGATCTTCCTTGGAATTTTTTTATAATGGCCGTTGTCGTTTTAAATCTGTTCTATTTAACGTATTGTGCTGTAGAGGACACTTTTGCATCTTACTTAATGACTTTTGTGGTAATGCAACTGAACTGGAGTAAGGCGAAGGGTACGCAGGTCAATGCCGTATTTTGGGCCGCTTTTGCTGTAGGGCGATTTACAGGAATTTTCGTCATACGTTGTTTTCGACCGGGTGTAATGATATTTATATTCCTAGCAAGTTTAATTTTAAACTTGACGGGTTTTTTACTATGTTCGCATTATCAAATACACATAGGAATTTGGATTTTTGCCATTTGTATCGGGCTTTCAATGTCCGTTATATTTCCTACAGGGTTCACCTGGGCTCACGAAAACCTCCTCAACGTAAATGGTAAAGTCTCATCTATTATATTAATAGGTGCGTCAACCGGTACCATGATCAATCCTATTATTATGGGGTATTTGATGGAAGAGTTAACTCCCATGTGGTACTGTTATCTATTAGTCGGTGAGAGTGTTTTATGTCTTGCAATCTTTGTCGTTTTGTTATTTGTGGCTAAATATGTATCAGGACCCAAACGTATCATCACAGCTACCACAATAGAAGTTGAGTCACCGCAGGCAGAATCTGTTAACAGGGGCACACCTTGCATACCAAATAATATTATATCATCTGAACTATGACATTCCATATTAAATAATTTTAGTAATTGTTTGGTTATTACATAATGTGATATAAATACTATTTATTATTGTTATGTTCAAAATCGATAAATGAGAGTCTGGATGTTCGAGTGTGTCTGAGTGGAAGCGCGTGTTGCTAGGTGATTGACTATTATAGGATGTGAAAGCGGACGCATGGTGACCGGTGAGCCAAGCCCTCGCGTGTGTGTGTAATGGGGGTTGACACTCAACTTTCCTTTATTATAACGGTGAATTGTGAACTCAATATATATTCTGTGTGAATGAATATGTATGGTGAATCTTTTATAAGGTGAATTTAGACCTTTTACTTGGTCATTTGTGTGATGTGATCAAACCGTGAACTGTACTTTTCTCTGAACATTTTCCTGTTTTGTATGACATTTATTTAGTTTATAATATACTATAGTTGGAAATAATATTGGTTTGTTATTGTTGATGTCGAATCACCAGTGATACAGCAAAACTACGCCCTTAACACGACCCACGGCTCACCAGTACTATATTAGGTGAAAAACGTCAAAATCTGGTCATTTTGTAAACACGTGATCATGAAGTTAGCAAGCGTGAAGCGGTGACACTTATCTTATTGTTGTGAGAGACTGGGTGATCATGATACGTGACTTGTGGTTCGAGATGTGTGTTACGTCACTAGTTTAGCCCGCGCTCTGCACGGACTACCGGCGAGATGTAAACATGCAGATTTAGCTCAGTTCAATTTCTATCATGTACGTTTGTTTGATTCCATCGCGGTAAGGGTCTATCCAATTGTGTATGTTTATTCCAATATAACTCTGTGCTCTAAAACTCAATCTGGTTTTGTTGTTTCTGTCTTCGTCGGCATAGTTCAAGGGGATTGTGATAATTCAGTGAATCTAGGGAGGCCCGCCGCTACATGGTCCGACGAGACGGATTGAATCAGGATTCTGGATCGACACTCATTCAAGAATTGAAAATTTGGCTCAAGATACAGTCTTTATTCAAGTGTTCAGTTAGTCAAGTACAACCTCAAGAAAGTCAGTAAGAATTTTCTCGATTTATTGGACAATCGCAGGCTTATTTAAATCATGGCTGAGGAGATTATCAAACACAAAATTGCTCAAAGAAATGGACATCGAACATCGGTCAAAAAGATTATTTCAAACTTAAATGATATTTTGAAACTTGAAGTCGATGATAGTGCATATTTGGAAACCAGGGATACTCTAATTCGGTATAAATCAAAATTGGCTGCGAAGCTTGAAACATTGATAAAATTGGATGAAAAAATCATGGAAATTTCTCATGCTGACAAATTATCTGACGAAATTGAGATCGCGGATGAATTTTCTGAATATATTGCATCATACACTGCAAAAACCAATCGTAGAATTCAAGAATTAGAATCAAAGTTTGAGAATATTAGGCCTAATTCTGTCAAAGATAGCCAAAATTCGCCATCGGATAATTCGGACAAGTCAAATTCTGATGTAATTAGTGTACATGATTCTGATTCGGTTATTGGTGACAAATCTCTAACTCAAAATGTGCCTGGGTCTCAAAATTTTACTGGTAAAGCTACTCAACCTCAAGTTAAGTTACCTAAATTGACTCTCCAAAGTTTTGCTGGGGACTACGCACAGTGGCAACCCTTTTGGGATACATTCGAGAACTCTATACATAATAACCATCAGCTATCCGATGTGGATAAATTTAACTATTTAAAATCTTTTCTGAACGGTGATGCGCGTACCTCTATAGCTGGACTATCTTTAACTTCGGATAATTATTCAAATGCTATAGCCATTCTCAAACGTAAATATGGAAATCGGCAACGTATAATTAGTAGACACACTTCAGATTTGGTTAACATCCCGGTGATATCAGATGTTAACAATTATCGGGATTTGCGACGTTTGTACGATAAACTTGAGGCTAATATTCGAAGCCTAGATGCCATGGGCATTCAGTCATCAGCCTACGGTACTGTTCTTTCTTCAGTTATAATGAGTAAATTACCACATGAATTAAAGGTTGTCATCAATCGGGAAGTTAAAAATGATGACTGGGATTTAGAAGCAGTTATGGAAATCTTTGCACGCGAAATCGAGGCTCGTGAACGCACGGATGTAGCAATGCCATCTAAAAATTTTGAATCTTCAAATTATAACAATCGGTTTCGTGGAAGACATTCAGGCCAAGGAAATTACAACCAATCGCATCGTCCCATTCAAGGCACTGCCTCAGCATTTTTGTCAAATAATTCATATCCGGAATCAACATTTTCCTGCACTTATTGTAGAGGTCCTCATCCATCAAATTCGTGTAAAACCGTATCGAGTTTGGAAGCTCGCAGGGAAAATCTCATAAAATATCGAAGGTGCTTTATATGCCTAAAAAAGGATCATAACAGTAGAAATTGTAACTCTAATAAATTATCCTGTTTCAATGGCATTTAGTAATTGAACTAGAGTATACAGGTCACAATTCTATGGAATACAATTACTGCTTTTTACTGAGCGACGTTTCGACTAGGCTTCTCTAGTCATTATCAAGCTATGATAAAAAATGAAAATATGACAGGACAATATATACATGTACACCACAATGCTAAGTTAATGATGACAATCCAGGGATGTAACTTAATTACGTGTACCTAATGGTAATCTGATTTAATTGTACGCTAATAAGTAATAATACCAATTAACCTAAAAAATTGACTAATTGATTAATGGATAAGTTGTTGTGGAGTATACACAGTGATTAGTGGGTTTTAATAATACAAACGTTGCAAGAAAATGAAAATTGATGAAATGTTATCAACGACCCCTTTCACTGAAATAAATACAAATGGTAAAAGAATAGATTGTTGTGGAGTATTTACAACGATTTGATGAGGTTTTGATAATGACAACATCCCACGAAGATGAGATTTGATTTGTGTTATAACCAAAATAATTGATATGTGGATGTTGATGCGAGTGATTACACTGATATACGAAAAACCCTTAGAACAATGACTGCACAATGATCAATAGTCCCCTGAAGGTTGACAATTTAAAATATTGAGTGGTACTTCACTGGATGTTATGGTGATGTAGAAAAGCAGGGTTAGAAATATTGAGTGCATTAAATTACAATAAATTACAATTACAATAACCGCAGTTTGCGGTAGACGTCATCATGTTAGCATTTGTGAGGTAGCTCACAATCAACGGAATACGAATTCAAGCAATCTTAATCCACAAGCGTCTAACTTCAATCCATCGGGATCAGTAAATCAAAGACAGGATAATTTTCGAATCGCTCAAAGGAATAACCCATCCACTTGTATGTATAATAACTCTAAGCCTACAATTGATCATCGTTCATTAGTACTTCTTCAAACAGCGCGAGCTCAAACTTCAAATATAACTGCTCCTTCTAATAAGATTTGGGCGAGAATAATCATGGACAACGGAAGTCAGAGAACTTACATAACCTCTAAATTGAGAGACGCTCTCAAACTACAAACTATTTCTAAACAATTTGTGAGAATTAAAACATTTGGAACTATGGAGCTAATTGAACAAGAAGTTGACATAGTAAATTGTGTAATTCATAATAAAAATAATAGCTCTACTTTGATTCAAGCCTATGTCGTCCCTTTAATTAGTCATCAGTTAGAATATCACGATGTTGCTACTATTCAAAAAAAGTTTCCTCATTTACAGAATTTAGAACTAGCCGATTTTGCCGAACCTCGTTCGGATGGGACAGTTCAGTTACTCATTGGGTCAGATTACTACTGGAGCATAATTAGTGGCACTGTCGTACGGGGGGAGATGGGTCCCACTGCATTACAATCTTCCATAGGTTGGATTCTTTCAGGTCCGTGTCCTCACAATAATACGGAACACACTTATGTCACTACTTTGTTTACAAATTCAACTTTAGATGAACAGTTACATAAATTTTGGGACTTGGAATCAATGGGAATTGTAGACACCTCTATATATGACGAATTGGTAGAGAATATCGTGTTTGAAAACGGGCGCTATCAAGTAGAATTACCGTGGAAACGACCCCATTCTTTTCTCCAAGATAATTATAAACTTTCACTCAAGCGGCTAAAAAACTTGCGTCAGAGACTTTTATCAGACCCAAAGCTTTACTCAGAATACAACTCTATAATTCAGGAGCAGAAAACCCAAGCGATAATCGAACCAGTTGACATTTTAACTCCAAATGATGGAACTGTCCATTATTTGCCGCATCATGCCGTGCTTAGGGATGACAAAAGTACCACTAAAGTCAGAATAGTTTTTGATGCATCTGCGAAGGTTAATCAGAACGCTAGCCTAAATGACTGTTTGTATGTAGGTCAGTCGCTTAATCAGAAGATTCTTGATATCATTTTAAGGTTTAGGACATATCCGATCGCACTCACTGGTGACATAGAAAAGGCTTTCTTAATGATAACTCTGCCGGAAAAGGATCGTGATGTGTTGCGTTTTTTGTGGTTCGATGATTTCAGTAAACCCGATCCTCAAATTGTGTGTTATCGTTTTACTCGGGTTGTATTCGGGGTATGTTCATCCCCATTCCTTCTTAACGCAACTCTTAAGTATCACGCGGAAAAGTATATTCAAGATAATCCAGAATTTGTCAGAACATTTCTTAGATCAATCTACGTCGATGATTTCACAAGTGGCGCGCAATCAGAAGACGAGGCATTCGAACTATATAAATCAGTTAAATCAAAACTTCTGGACGGAGGCTTTAATCTACGTAAATTCAAAACAAACTCAATTACTGTTCAAACTAAAATCGACGAGTGTGAATCCAATAGCAATAACTCAGAACAGGTGGATAAATCTATTCAAGAAGATGACGAATCGTATGCGAAACTTATGGTCGGATCTCAATCGGAATCTTCGGAAAATCTGAAAATCTTGGGCGTAGGGTGGAATCCGTCAACAGATGAATTTGTATATAATCTCGGGGGAATATCTCAGTTAGCGAATTCAGTTCTTCCAACAAAACGTAATGTAGTTAGCATTAGTGCTAAATTCTTCGATCCTTTGGGGTTCCTTCAACCTCTAATTGTCATGTTCAAAATTCTATTTCGTGAACTCTGTCAGGCAAACTTGGAATGGGATGACCTTTTAGAAGGTTCTTTCCTTCAACAGTGGACATATTTAACTCGGTCATTATCTTCAGTTCGGTATGTTACTATACCGCGATACTATTTCTCGGACATTAATGAAAATATAATTAACTCAACTTTAGTGGGATTTTGTGATGCGTCGATGCATGCTTATTCAGCAGTGGTTTATATTAAAATTCAGACTTCTAATTCATGTTGTGTTCGATTCGTGGCTTCAAAAACGCGGGTTGCCCCCACAAACAAGCTTACGATTCCAAGATTGGAGCTCATGTCGGCCTTGATTCTGTCGCG